CCCTCCCCAGCCCCGCCATCTCCCCACAGATCTTCTGGCCGCCGCTGCGGAACCTGTTCATCCCGGTGTTCCTCAACTGCTGGCTGGCCAAGCACGCACTGGAGAATATGATCGTAAGCAAGAGCCAGACCCCTGCCCACCTGCAGAGGCGACTTGCCATACCCAGCCCCAGGGCCACCAGGCTGCCTGCCAGGAGGCCATGTGACCAACAGGAATGTCTGTCACTGTGACCTGCCCCAGTCAATGTCTGGGAAGAGAGCTTCTCCTGACCTGGGAAAGGGCTGGGGAGGAGATGGGGCCATGGGCAGTAGCAAGCAGGCCTACGGGAGACCAGTCACCAATCCTGGGTCACGGGCACTGGGACCACGAGAACCAAGACTCTGAGAACCAAGACCGTGAGCTCTGGGCCCACAAGAAAACCGGGCTGCAGGCAGCCTGCTGAGATCTAGGGAGGTCAGCCTCTGTGCTCCCAAGCCTGCCCCCGCCCCAGGCCCCCAGACTCACAGCCCCAGGAGGGTTAATGGTCAGTGAAGTTGAAATGCCTGGTCCATCGAGTCTCCTACGGGCCTCAGCCCTCCTGGGGCACAGGGGGGCGGGGTGCTCCTGAGAGAGGAAGCGAGGTCAGTGGCCTACCCAAATCCAGGCTGCCCTGTGGCCCTCGCCCAGGGGAGGTGTGCCAGGCCACTGGCTTTGCAGCCTGCCTCTTGTTTATCTGCTCTGGTGGGGGACCGAGCCCTGACCACTGATGGCCACATCCTCCACAGAACGATTTCCACCGTGCCATCCTGAGGACCCAGTCGGCCATGTTCAACCAGGTCCTGATCCTCTTCTGCACCCTGCTGTGCCTCGTGTTCACGGGGTGAGCCTTGGGCATTGAGGGCCACCCAGCAGCCGGGGACAGTGTGCTCCTGGGCAGAGAGGCAGTGACAGCTCAGGGCACAGAGCCAGGCTCTGGGGTCAAGGTCTGGGGCAGGGGGTGGCTTAGCTGGCTGGCACAGAGGTCCAGGAGTGGCCCTGAGCCCATGTCCCCATGAGCAAACCCCTAAGTCCAGCTCCCCCAAGGCCCAGGACTCTGGGATCTGGCTTCCTGGTCCATGCCTTGGGCTCTGAAGCTGGGACTAGCCCTCAAGTGGGATGGTGCCTTTGGCCTGAGGCCACCCTGAGAGCAGAGGCCAGGCCAGGGCAGGGGCTTGGAGGGTTCTCCTGGAATCAAGCCTCCAGCCACTTGGGTAGATTTGCTGCACCCACCTGTGCTCTGGCCCTGTTATGGATCCTGGAGAGGCCCTGTTACCACTTCCTATCCCCCAGGCTCTGGGCAGAGGGTGCCCTGTGCTCTCTGCCCTCCCTCCCCTGCACCCCACCCACAACACACAGACCTCAGAGGATCTGGAACAGATGTCCAAGGCTAGAGTCTAGGGTGACTCAGGGTGAGTCTCCTCCCAGCAGCCCTGTGTCACCCAGCTGTCCACCCCAGGGGCCCTGAGCACCGGCTGTGCCAACATCGTGGGACCAGGGAGTGACCCCAGGCCCTGCCCGATCGACCCCCAGTTGAGCATAGGAAGGAGGTGTCCAGCTCTGTGCAGGGAAGGGCCTAGGAAGCAGCCCTTCATGTCGAGGGTCCTACCCAGCCCCAGTCCACACAGGAGGCCCCAGCTCCACATTCCTGCTCCCCGTGGGCTCCTGGGCCTGGGAAGAGCTGTTGGGCAGGAAAGGGGTCAGATCTGAACCAAGGTGGTGCCAGGGCTGGTTCAGGGGCCATCCAGGGCCTAGAGGGATCAAGAGTGCCCACCAGTGTCAGGCGAGGGGACGCTTCAGCAGGGCTGGGGACAGATGGTTGGTGTGGGAGCCCAAGAGTGCTGAGCTGTGCCCCAGACTGAGACTCGGACTCAGCATCAGGAGACGGGGTCCACCAGAGCCCAGGGTGCCCAGGCTGGAGCCCAGCCTTTGGTGGCCCAGCGGCGCCCATCCCCTAGGACCTGTGGCATCCAGCACCTGGAGCGAGCTGGCGAGAACCTGAACCTGCTCACTTCCTTCTACTTCTGCATCGTCACCTTCTCCACGGTGGGCTACGGCGATGTGACGCCCAAGATCTGGCCGTCCCAGTTCCTGGTGGTCATCATGATTGGGGTGGCCCTGGTCGTGCTCCCACTGCAGGTTGGTCCCCAGCCTCAGAGACGCGGGGCTGTGGCACGGGCACCAGGGTGGTCGAGCCTTGGAGGGCCACAAGGCCAGGGGGGTGGCACCTGCGGAGGGCAGGCCTGGCCAGGGCCTCCTGTGGAGTGTGGTGGTGAGCCGCAGTGCAGCCGAGTGGGCTCTTCCTTCTGGGAAGACAGGGGATCTCTTGGTGCTAGGGTGACCCCCCTGGGGCCAGTACAGAGGCAGAGGTGGACAGTCAGTGTGGACAGTCACCTGTTGGCTACCCACAGTCCTGCATGGCAGCAGTGGTCAGGACCGTGAGGGGCACCTGGAAGGGCCACTGCTGACCCTGAGCTTGACCCTCAGCCCTGGTCCGCTCTCTGCTTGCGGTTTGGAGCCCCTATCCCCAGCCAGAAGCCCTCTGCTTTTCCCAGTAGGCTATGAGGAAGGCCTACTATGTGCTGGGGACACCTCACACTAGGCCCCTTACAGCAGCCTGGGCATGTGACCCTTCCCCTCCAGGCATCTGAGGCAGAGTCCCTACTGGCCAGGCAGTGCTGGGTCCTCCCCACCTCCATCTGAGACGATGCAGGGCCTAGGCTGCATCCTAAGCTATAGCCATTTTATCGTCCACTGATGTCCACTGAGGTGGCCTCTCTTCATCTGCTCATTGACCTCTTGGGTTTCTGCTGACCCTGTACTTTCCATAGGGGGCTCTGCTGCCCTGCAGACTCCCTGGTCTGCCTTCTGGAGGCACAGAGCCCTGCTGTCGATGACCTCTGCCCTCTTTTGGTTGGGAGCTCCCCCCTCGTACTGACCGTCTGGATTCTACTGTGGTCAAATGTCCTGATCTTTCTTTTATGGCTTCTGTTTTCCTTTCTTGTCTGAAAAGACCACTTCCCTCCTCAGTCATGGATATTTCCTTCTGAGAGGTGGAGGTTGCGTCTTGCTGCTGCGAGAGCAGGGGCAGGCCTGTGCCAGCCCATCCTCAGGCTCATCCCTCCACACCACGCACCTGGACGGCCGCTCTCCTGGAGGGCGCCCCACCCTGCCCACAGCCCCTGGGCTCACTGTTCCTCCTTGTAAGATTTCTATTTTGATGCCTGAGGTCTGCCACCCCGCCTGATCTGGGGTCTCTGCCAGGACCCGTGGGATGGGCTTGGATGGCTCCTGCAGACCCACGCCGCCTCTGCCAGCTCTAACGTGTCCCTAGCTCTCACTGCCAGCGTAGGGAGTGTCTCCAGGGAGCTCACAGAGGTCACTGGCCACTGGTTCACATGGAAGAAAATATGGTCCCTGAATAGGGAGCGCTGGTGGCTTCCCGCCCAGCCCTGCTGCCTTGGAGCCCAGCCCCTGCCAGCCAGGCCCGGGACAGTGTGCGGCTGGAGAAGGGGCGGCTGCCCCACTGGGCCGACCTTGGTGAAGCACTCCAAGCCGTCCCCAGGGCCACCCCTGGTGTCTGGTGTGGTCAGGTGTCCTCCCCTCCTTGTCCTCGAGTGCCAAGAGTGGGCTTAGCGATGCTTCTTCCCAGTCCTGTAAATGACCCTGCTGTGAAGTCACCCAGAGCCTTCTTTTCTGGGGGGCAGGGGTACCAGGGATGGAACCAGGGCTTGGTGTGACCAGGCAAGCCCTCCACCACAGGGCTGTACCCCCAGCCCACCTGAGCCTCATAGAGGCCAGAGCTGCCATGGACAGGCCAGACCCTGGGGTCTCTAGGTCTGCTCCAACAGATGGCCACACCACAGGCTTAAAACAACAAGCCTGCTCCACAGTTCTGGAGGCCACAGTCCAAACCAAGGGGTCAGCAGGCTGCTCCTGTGGCTGCAGGGAGGATGGACTCAGGCCCCAGACTGTGTAGCAGGATGCCCTGCTCCTCACAGGGCTAAGGGTGGCCAGGACCACGGTGCTGCTGACCTCGCCATCCGCACAGCCTCCTGCCCCCTCCTGCTGCCCCTGGGAAGACTAGGGGTCCTGTTAGTGGACAGGGTGGTCCTGGTGCCTTTGGAACAGGACTTGCTGGTGGAGGCCCTGGGGAGGGGCAGTGGTGTTGCTGGTAGCCATCACACGCCTCCCTCCAGAGCTTTGGGACAGCTGTCATCTGCCAGAGCTGCTCTGCAGGCTCAGGTCCCGTGTTGTCGGGTGTCAGTGTCAGGCTCATGGGCACCACAGCAAACCGCTGGACAGATAGCTGGACAACAGGAAGTCACTGTCCTGGAGGTGGATCTGCACGCAGGTGTGGGCGGGGCTGGTGCCCCTGCTGCCCGAGGCCCCCACAGGCCTGGTGCCCTTGTGGCCACATCCAGCAGCTTCTGCCCCTGATCCAGGCCTCTTCTTTGGGTCTTCCTCTCCTGAGGACAGCAGTGTTGGACTCAGGGTCACCCAAATCCACGATGACCTCATTTCAACAAATTATATCACAAAGACTCTGTATTCAAATTGGGTCACGTCCTGAGGTTCAGGTGGACGCACGTGTTGGGTTCACTGTCAAACCTGGTCATCAGCCGGCTTCATCCTCACGGCCTCCCTGGGAGGCCAGTGCTGCTCTGATCCGTGGCAGACAAGGAAACAGCCTGCGGGAGGTGGGACGCAGGCCCATGGTGACCCCCAGCAGAGCCCAGCCCGTGCCACCTGCAGGGAGGCGTCTCTGTTGGGACCACGCTGGGTCTTGGGCACCTCCTGGTTGTGGAGCCAGTTCAGTGCCTCAAGGCCATTGGGTCTTGTCACTGGGACTGAGCAAGAGCCCTGTTCATTCAGTGACTTGATCTCGGGCAAGGTAGTCACGTCTCCCTGAGCAGGCGGACCATCAAGGGGGGCCGCCACCATCCTTCACTCAGAAAGTGTGAAGCCAGCAGGGTCAGCACCCTGGACAGCTCCAAGTGGCGGGCCCTGGGGTGAACCTGGGGCGCCTTGAGGCTGCAGCTCTACCCGATGTGTTCACCGCAGCTGTCAGGAGAGCACTTAATTCCCCACCCCGTGGGCCGAGAATTTGCCGGCGCTGTCAGTTTTCCCCACAATAAGTCTCAGGGGCTGGCGGGAAGAGCCGCAGGTCTGCTGACGCCTTGACTGCCACAGCTCAGGCTTTGGCAGCCACTCGGCCTTTGGGGTTTGGAGCTGAGCTCGCATCTCAGGCTGCCCCAGGCACGGGCAAGTGGGGATGCTCACTCCCCCTCCTCGAGTGGCCGTGCCAAGACAGTGGCCATTTCCAATGTGGCTCTGTCCTGGGCCACATTGACCTCTGGTCCTCTGGTCCTGCACTGACCTCTGCTCAGGCTGTCTGCTCCCTGCACACCCTGTCAGCCACCTGGTCCTGCTCTGTGCTGTGGCCCTGGGCTCAGGGCCTGCCCCTGCCAAATGGGAAAGGTCCAAGCCCAGCCCCACCCCTGCCCGCCCTGCCCCTCACTGCCCAGGCTAAGCCAGTGCCCACTGCTCTCCCACATAGTTTGAAGAGCTCGTCTATCTCTGGATGGAGCGGCAGAAGTCTGGGGGCAACTACAGCCGCCACCGCGCACAGACAGAGAAGCACGTGGTGCTGTGTGTCAGCTCCCTCAAGATCGACCTCCTCATGGACTTCCTGAATGAGTTCTATGCCCACCCCCGGCTCCAGGTGAGGCCCCCAGGCCTCGGGACCCTCCTGCCCCCAGAGCAGCCACCCCTTTCCACGCCCCCTGAGGACTAGCCCTCAGTTTCCCTGTTTAGAGGGGTGGCATCCACACTCTGGGAGTTCTGGGGGTCCTGTGAAGTGCTGGGTGAGACAGCACCCAGGTAAACAGGTGGTCTGGCAGTGGCAGAAGCCTGCTCAGAGCCTCTGACCCACGGCCTGGCCAGCAGGACTACTACGTGGTCATCCTTTGCCCCACTGAAATGGACGTCCAGGTACGCAGGGTTCTGCAGATCCCCTTGTGGTCTCAGCGGGTCATCTACCTCCAGGGCTCTGCCCTCAAGGACCAAGACCTCATGCGGGCCAAGTGAGTGTCAGCCAGGGTGGGCACAGCGGGTGTGGGAGCCATGGGGTAGGTGGGTTGGCAGCTGGAGCAGCAGAAGGGGTATGGGGTGTTTGGCAGCTCTGGCTCAGTGCCCACCGCCTGACCCAGGTGAGCAGGACCCTGCCCACGCTGGGCACAGCAAGTCCACCTCAGGCCTCCTGGGCAGACCCAACGTTGGGAGTCCCCATTCTCCCCACTTGGAGTCTGGGGATTCTCTATGTCAAGTTCTAGGAGCTCAAAATAGACCAGGGGCGGAGGAGCTGGCTGCTGGAGTCAGTGGGGGAAGTCACGAGGGCTGAGGGTGGATCTTGCTTTAAAGATAAGTTGGCAGAGTGACTTGAGGTGACACAAATGTGGCATGCCATGGAACTTTCCAGAATGTGCTAGTGCACTTCCTGGGATTCTCTCCAAAGCCCCTCCTGCCACCTTCCCATTCCAGAAGCCTCCCATGTCCCTCTGTGGGGCCTACAGGGCTGAGGGCAAGCAGGACACCTGGCCCAGGGTCACTCATCCCTCAAGCCCTGTACCCTGAGGTAGGGCCCTGATGGTCACAGCCCCTTGTGGTCCCATCCATACCTCACACATGTCTGTGTCTGGCTCCAGGCCTGCAGCTGGGGGAGAGAGTGTTGGGCAAATAGGGAGGAGCCAGGGAGGCAGGGGGGCAGCAGAGGTTTTAGGAGGCACAGTGTTCTTCTGCTTTGGGGTGGGAGAGGACAGTGTGTCCACTGGATCTCAGGCCAGCTAGGTTATTTCTGCAGCTGAGCCCTTGGGAACCAGGGGTTGGATATGGTCATACAGGACCACAGTGTGGCCAAGAGAAGGAGATGGGTCCCTGCCCCCAAGTGTTTCTGTTCTGTGGCCCAGTCCGTCCCTGGTTGATGGGGCATGGGGATGGGCTGCAGATGCTGAATACCCTGGGTCAGGTCAGCTGGGCCAGGGCCCAGGTTGCTAGCACACAGTGAAGTGGGGTCTCAGTGTGGGGACCCCCTTCCAGCCCCTGACAGCTGGAGCTGAGGCCAGAGCTCTCTACTGCCCCATCAGGCCATGTCCTGGAAGAGCCAGGTGCCCGGCTGGTCCACTGGTGTCTCCAGACATGCCATCTGGCTTCTGAGACATGTCCAGTGTCCAAGCTTGAACCCTCCTGAGGGTGTCCAGAAATCCTGACCAGGCCCAGGATGTGCTGGGGAGAGGCCAGGGAGGTGAGGAGGCCCAGGACTGGAGGCACTGCTGGGACCAGGCTGACCACCTGAGCAGGAGTCTGCCGACCTCTGGCCACACTAGCGGTTGGCACTTTGCAGGATGGACAATGGGGAGGCCTGCTTCATCCTGAGCAGCAGGAACGAGGTGGACCGCACAGCCGCAGTGAGTGAGGCCGAGGCCAAGGCAGGTGGGGGCGGGGGGAGCCCCTCCAGCCTGCAGCTGCCCACCCCCTCACTGCAGGGACACTCCAACACTGAACACACACACCCCCCAGGACCACCAGACCATTCTGAGGGCCTGGGCCGTTAAGGACTTCGCCCCCAACTGCCCTCTCTACGTCCAGATCCTCAAGCCTGAGAACAAGTTTCACGTTAAGTTTGCTGGTGCGTCTGGGGCCTGCAGTGCGCAGCTGGGAGGGCGGGGGCTGGAGCAACACCTCAGGAGCAAGGAGGTGCGGCAGGGCAGCAGCCCTCCTTCCTCACAACCCAGGAGGGGCGCCCATAGTGGTCCAGCTTTTTTAGATGATCCAGCTGGGGTGCAGGGTCAGGGAGGGCAGGAGCAGGGGTTGGGAGCAGCACCCTCTGATGAGCACACCATGGGCAGGACCCTGCCGGAATCCCTGGGGACAGGTGAGGGGCCTAGATGAGCACCCCAGGGGACAGGTGAGGGCCACACCCAGCCCTGGAGCTCTGGGCAGAACAGGAGAGACACAAAGCAGAGCCTCTATCAAGGCTCCGGTTGGTTCTGGGCTTGCAGAGGCTCTGGGGAAGGGCTAGAATCAGAGCTGAGCAGGGGTCTGCGGTGCAGTCAGGTCTAGGGGCCCAGCCAGGGCTCCTGCAGCAAGTTCAGGAACGGTGGACCCTGTCTGCTGTCCTGCAGACCACGTGGTGTGCGAGGAAGAGTGCAAGTACGCCATGCTGGCCTTGAACTGCATCTGCCCAGCCACCTCCACCCTCATCACCCTGCTGGTGCACACGTCCCGCGGCCAGTGAGTGCCCCGCAGGGCCTACTGCCAGGCCCAGGGAGACAAGGCAGGGCCCTGTGGGGTGGGGCTCCCTGTGAGCATTGCTCCTTGTGGGCGGAGCCCCCTCCGTGGGTGTGGCTTCTTGTGGGCGGGAATCTCCTGGGGCGGGGCTACTCTGGGGGCGGGCTTCCTGGAGAAGGGTGTAGGCCTCACATGTCTGGGGGAGGGGCCTGCCCCAGGGAATGCTGACCCAGCTGAGCGGGAGGGCAGCCCTAGCCGAAGGTGATGGTCTCTTGCCCTGCTGTGGCCGGCAGGGAAGGACAGGAGTCACCGGAGCAGTGGCAGCGCATGTACGGACGCTGCTCCGGCAACGAAGTGTACCATATCCGCATGGGCGACAGCAAGTTCTTCCGCGAGTACGAGGGCAAGAGCTTCACGTACGCGGCTTTCCACGCCCACAAGAAGTACGCGCCCCCTTCCAACACCTGGGCCCAGGGCAGGTGGGCGGGACCCTGGGGCAGGGGGCCTTAGAGACCCAGAGCTGGGGCACCCTGGCCACAGCTGCCTGACAAGGACAGCCAGCCGAGGCCTCAAGATTGCTCATTAGGCTCTCCTAAGGCTGACCCCAGGGTCACTGGTTCCCTGACCCACGAAGGGAGGTTTCCCAAGGAAGGCGGGGCAGGAGCGCAGGAGGCAGCTGCAGTCAGGTGACCCCCAGGAGGAGCAGGGGGAGGCGCCGGCAGGTGCGGGGCAGCCCGTGGAGCCGCAGCCCCTGTGCCCAGGTACGGCGTGTGCCTCATGGGGCTGAAGCGAGAGGACGACAAGAGCATCCTGCTGAACCCGGGGCCGCGGCACATCCTGGCCGCCTCCGACACCTGCTTCTACATCAACATCACCAAGGAGGAGAACTCGGCCTTCATCTTCAAGCAGGAGGAGAAGCAGAAGAAGGGGCAGGGGCTCTACGAGGGGCCCTCCCGCCTGCCGGTGCACAGCATCATCGCCTCCATGGGTAAGCCCCCAGGCCCGCTCTTCCTTGGCCTGCACTGACCTTGGGCAAGGTGAGTCTGTCTGGGTTTCAGTGTTTGAATTTGTCAAATGGAGGTGTCCCCACCTGTGAGGGCCTGTCAGCCATGAGCAGGGTGTCTGAGCGCCCACCTTGTGGGCCGCCTTGGTCAGGGGTCTCTGGGGTGCAAGCCAGCCGGCCATCCTGGTCCCTGGCAGTCCCATCAGTCCAGAAGGTTTCCTTCACACGTGGCCCTTGAATAGACCAAGGCCCCAGTGTCCTCTGGGGCTGGGAGCCAGCTGGACAGTGTGAAACTAGCAAGGCCTTTGGCCTTCAGGTACCCTGGAACTTCCATGAGCCTGGGGCCAGGTCCAGCTGTCTCCCGCAGGTGTGGGCCCAGGGCTTGAGTATCTGAGGTGGGTGTAGGCCCTCGGCAGCCAGGCCCACCCAGGAGACTGGGGAGCAGGGATAGGCCAGGGAGCCACCCAGGCCACAGCCCCCTAGACTCGGCCAGGGCACTGCATTCTCCTACAGGATGGCCTGAGAATGACTCGGGCGACACGCTGACATTGTTGAGTGCCTGCTGCATACCCTACTGGTATGTGCCTACTGGAGTGTTGGCATATGGTCCCAACTTTGTGCTTTGGGTCAGTGTGGCACACATCCTTCATGACATGTCATGGGCTGGCAGCCAGACCTGGAGGTTATACTTCCTGATGGTGGCAGTGTGCCCTTGAGGCCAGGCCTGCTGAAGGGCAGGGGAGACGGGTCTGCTGCTGCCCAGCCTCACCTCCCCTGGAGTGTGTGTGTCATTCCCTGGTGGCTCCCAGGAAGCCGTGGTGACTTGTGCAGCCCTGCACCCTGGGCCGCATCCTCCACCCCCACCTGGCAGTCCCTGGCTATAGTGGGAAGGCAGAGTCCGCAGGTACAAAGTGGTCCTGCAGCTCCCCTCTGATCCTCAGCATGGCCATCCCCACCTGGGCTGGTCCTCAGAGCAGAATGGCCAGCTGCCGGGCTCCTGAGCTCCCAAGAGCCCCCACCCTCAGGCCATCAGTAACGAGACTACAGCAACTGACTGGGTGGTGCCACTGAGAGGTGGGGGGCTCTGGGGCTACCATACCCAGAGGCCCTGTCCTGCTTGTCCAAAGGGGGAAACCCAGGGTTAGAGGGTGCTGAGATCCCAAGGCCACGCAGCTGTAGGACAGGGGCCAGGACATGAGCCGGGGTCTCTGAGGCTGGCTGTGTCCTCAGCCTTAACAGCAGGGTGGGAAGGGGCCACCAGCCTAGCTCAGTCACTCTCTCCAGGGACAGTGGCCATGGACTTACAGAACACAGAGTGCCGTCCCTCGCAGAGTGGTGGGGGCGGCGGGGGCAACAAGCTGATGGTGCCCACGGAGAACGGCTCAGGCAGCCGTCGGCCCAGCATAGCCCCGGTCCTGGAGCTGGCAGACAGCTCGACCCTGCTGCCCTGTGACCTGCTGAGTGACCAGTCTGAGGATGAGGTGACGCCCTCAGATGACGAGGGGCTCTCCGTGGTCGAGTGAGTGCTGCTGCAGGGGTTGAGCTTTCAGTGGGTGGGTGTGCTGGGGGGCTGAAGGCCCTGGGGGGCGCTTGGCTCCCTGGGAGTTCTGGCTCGGCCAACGGCAGAGCAGGTGCCTGACCTCTCTCCTGTGCCTGAGGCCCTGGTCCCGGCAGCTCTTTGAGCAGAGGCATGCTGAGGGGTCTGCAGGTCTGTGCCCCTTCTCCTCAGTCAGGGTTGGAGGTCAGCACTGAGTGGGGTGGGTCCCTTCCTGGGGGGCTCACAGGAGTGGGGCCAGTACTGGGGCAAGGCCACCCCAGCATGAGACCCGTCCTTGCCCGAGGCACCAGCCCCACAGCAGCTGTGCCACAGAAGTCTCTGCCCCCCGCCTGCCCACCAGCTGGTGCACACTCAGGCAGCGTCCACAGCACCAGGTGCACCTTGCAACTGGTCAGCCCTCACTGCCCTGGAAGGCAGGGCCTCCTGCTGGGGGTCAGGAGACAGGTGGTGCCCACCACCAGGGCCATGGCCTGTGGCTGTCAGTGAGCCACTTTGAGGCCCCGCAGGGCAGGGCATGGCAGGCTGCCCCTGAGGCTGCCATCTGGAGGCCCCTGGAGGTGGATTGAGGGGAATGTGGTGGGCAGCCAGGGCACAGTGTGGTGTGGGCTGGGAGCTGTTGGACAGGGATGAGGGGTCGGTGGCCTGCAGGGGAGACCAGCCTGGCCCAGGGGAAGCCACTGAGGCAGGACTCAAGGCCGCAGTGTCTGCCCGCTGGCCAGGGTGCTGGGGTGTCAGGGAGCTCGACAGGGTGGTCAGATCCCTTGGGTCTACCCTGGCTTCAGGGTCTTGCCCAGGCTCCTCTGTGAATGTGTGCATTGAGGAGAGAGGGGTCTCAGGGCAGAGGCCACCTCCTGCCCCACCCTGGAGGTCTGACCACTGGGGGGCCCTGGGGCTGCCTGAAGAAGTGACCCTTCCCACAGGCCTGTTGGCACCCTGGGAGAGGGCACATCGGTGAGGGCCCCTGCACACACACCTTTGCCTTGAGCCACCCTAGGACATTGGTGGAGGCCCTGGCCTTATGGCTCGTCTTTGAGGTCTCGTCCCCCATGTGGCTGCCTGGGCTGGCTGGGTCCTGCTGGTGGCCAGAGGCCAGGCTCCAGGACTGCGTCCCAGGTGCTGATGATCTAGAGCAGAGCCAGCCCCCTTGGCCAGCAGAGGGTGACCGGGGATGGAGTAGACACCCTTGAGTCCCCTGGTAGTGGTGGCCTTGGGATGGCTGCCACAGAGCCGTGCTGAGGGCTCGTCTCCACCCAGGTACGTGAAGGGCTACCCCCCTAACTCGCCCTACATCGGCAGCTCCCCCACCCTGTGCCACCTCCTGCCGGTGAAAGCGCCCTTCTGCTGTCTTCGTCTTGACAAGGTAAGGCCACCCGCCAGCCAGGCCAGACGCCAGCGCAGCCCCGCCTCCCACTCCCCTTCACATCCGGACGCAGCTGCCGACTTGGGGGGTGCCCCGAGGGTGAGAACAGAGTGCTCCCGGCTGTGCTGGCCTTCACCCCCACGTCCTGGCTCTTGGCCTCTGGATTCCTAAGAGGCACTTTTCCTGGACTGCTTGAGGGTGGGTGGGCGCCTCCCCATCCACCCCTGCTCCTGCAGCGCCAGGGCCATCTCTCCTGGTGTAGCCTGTGGCCAGAGCTGGGCAGCACCTTGGCCTGGCGCGGTGTCTGTTCTGAGGTCTCATGGTCCTGGAGCCCAGGTCACCTCTGAGCAGGGCTCCCTGGGGAGCCTGGCACTCAGGCCTTCAGCCTTCCCCGGGTGTCCCTGGCCACAGTGCTCTGGGGAGGCTGTCGAAGCCCCGCGGGGAGCGTCGGGAGGACCGTGGGCTCCTGCGCTGCTCCTGGCCCCACTGCTGCTCTCCAGGCCCCAGACGCCTCGCGGCTTCCGTTGTTCTGCAGAGAAGATGGCGCCCTCCACCATGGGTTCCACTCGCCCACGGGTCTGAGGCGTGTGCACTCCTTTTTTCCCAGGGCTGACACCCATGGGACACCAGGCAGTCCTCATGGGCCATCTGTCCTCACGCATGAGATGACTGGGAACTCCCCATGCCACCGTCCCCCCGCGAGCTATGCTTTCCCGGGAGATGCCCAGCCAGTCCTGCCCAGGGCCTGAAGGCTCTTAAGGGAAGGGTGTGGTGGGAACAGCACCGGGTGCCCAGGCCAGGCCACTGGCTTCTGGCCCTTGGCCAAGATGTGGGTGTGCCCGTCGGCAGCTGTAGCTAAACCCACGCTCACGGGGACTGGCTTCGCCCGAGCCCCAGCGTTGCCCTTGGAGGCACGCCAGTGGTCACAGCTGTGGCCTCTGGGGGCTCCTGCTGACCTCGGTGGGTGTGGGGAGGTGACAGGCTCTGGCCCTCCCCAGGGCTGCAAGCACAACAGCTACGAGGACGCCAAGGCCTATGGGTTCAAGAACAAGCTCATCATCGTCTCGGCCGAGACCGCTGGCAACGGGCTCTACAACTTCATCGTGCCCCTGCGGGCCTACTACCGCTCACGCAAAGAGCTCAACCCCATCGTGCTGCTACTGGACAACAAGTGAGCCCTGAGGGCCTCCCCTCCTCCCCCACCCTCCTTCCTAGTCTCCTCCCTCACTGTCTGTGTCCATTTCCCTCCTGTCCCCACAACTGACTCCCGCTGTAGGGCCCGCGGCTCTCACACCCTGTGGCTCCTTTTACCCAGGGCCAGTCTCCGCCATGGGCCTGGTGGCAGGCCCAGGGTTGGTCTTGGCTGTCCGACCTCAGCAGGTCCTGCCTGGGCCTCGGTCTCCCCACTGGCCTCCATCTCCCCTAGACTCCCAGGTCCAATGGGCTGCAGTTCCAGGTCCCCTGCTCCCGGGTGTGGGCAGGGTGGGCCATGGAGCAGATGGCACCTGTAGGCCCTGCTATCCCCTCAGGCCTGACCACCACTTCCTGGAGGCCATCTGCTGCTTCCCCATGGTCTACTACATGGAGGGCTCTGTGGACAAGTAAGGCACTGGGCAGCCGAGGATGGGGCGTGGGCATCTCTGCAGCCCTGTCCCCTCTGAACTCTCCCGAGGTGGCGCGGCCAGGTGGCCCAGATGGCTGGGGCAGGGGAGGGCATCCGAGGCCCCAGAGGGACCTGGGGGGAAGTAGGCTGGGTCCCTGGGCCATGTGGCTCCTGCCCGCACCAGCCTGGACAGCCTGCTGCAGTGCGGCATCATCTACGCGGACAACCTGGTGGTGGTGGACAAGGAGAGCACCATGAGCGCGGAGGAGGACTACATGGCCGACGCCAAGACCATCGTCAACGTGCAGACCATGTTCCGGTGAGGCCCGCGGCTGGCCTCAGGCCCCGCCCCAGGCCTTGAGCACGGGCCTCCTGAGCCCCACAGCTGACCAAGGCAGACCACAGATGCCCCAAGCCCCATGGCTGACCATGGGCCTCCTGAGCCCCACACCCTGACCACAGACCCCTGAGCCTCATGGCTGACCACAGACCCCTGAGCCCCACGGCTGACCACAGGTCCTGAGCCCCATGGCTGACCACAGGCTCTGAGCCCCACGCCCTGACCACAAACCCCTGAGCCCATGGCTGACCAGGGCCGGCCCTGAGCCCCATGGCTGACCACAGGCCCTGAACCCCATGGCTGACCAGGACCCGCCCTGAGCCCCACAGCTGACCAGGGCCCACCCTCCCTCCTCCCCAGGCTCTTCCCCAGCCTCAGCATCACCACGGAGCTCACCCACCCTTCCAACATGCGGTTCATGCAGTTCCGTGCCAAGGACAGCTATTCTCTGGCTCTCTCCAAACTCGAAAAGGTGAGCAGCCCCCGCCCTGAGTGCCAGCCACTCAGCCCTGGAGTCTGGAGAGAGCAAGAGGAAGAGACGGGAGCTGGCAGCCTCCTGTGGGTGCTTAGGAGGCCAGGGACAGCCCAGCTGAAGGCTCCTGATCCTGGAGCCGGGAGATCCCACAGGGCACTAGCAGGCCCTGGCCACCCAGAATCCAGACTGCCTGTCCTGGGATGGTCAGCTGGCCAGTATAGCTCCAGCCCCACAGGGAGCTCTCCAGGTGGGTGGACCACCTGATCCCCACACCTGACCATGGGCCCATCTCAGGACAGTGAATGGGGCCTGGGTCCCTCTGGTGGTCCAGTAAGGGAGGCCAGGACACTGCTGAGTGTGGCCTCAGGGCTTGAGTCTCGGGAAGCAGCCCTGTCTCTCTGCCCTGGTCTGCGTTCAGAGCCTACGTGGCATAGAGGTCCCAGGCCCTGGTTAGGGCCTGGCAGGTGGGGACCTAAAGAGGAGGAAACCTGCCTCGGGTCCCATGATGGACAGAGCAGGTGGCAGAGCTGGACCCAGTGTCCTCCCATCTGCACCTCGGGGCTTCAAGCAGGATATCAGCTGTGGTCAGGTGTGGGACTGAGGGACACAGAGACCCACCCATCAGGGTGTGGGGACGCACCAAAGACACAGGAATCCACCAAGAATGTGAGATTCACAGGGTGGGGAAGACATGGTCACTGTTGGTGACCATGCTTAGGCTAGTGGCAGCACACCTGTCCTCACAAGGACTGACCATGTGTTAGGGTGGGCAGCTGGAGGCCAGGGAGTGGGCAAGGAGGCATCTGGAGGTCACGGCCACCATGTCCAAAGCCACGCATGCTCGCTGCTCAGTCTGGGCCAGAGTCCTCTCTGGAGAGCGGCAGGGGCTGTGTGGCCGACTCAGGAAGACCTGTGAGTCGAAGCCCCCTGGAGCAGGCCTGGCTGTCAGCACCAGGCAGAAGGGACAAGGGCTCGTTGCACGTGGACTCAGCTTTGTTGCCTGGACCTGGATGGACAATGCAAGTGGGCTGCACCCAGCTACAGACCCGGAGGCCCACGGAGACCTTGGGTTTTGTCCGCACCAGAGAAGTGAGAGGACACCAGGTGGGCAGTGGACGGCCCCCAGGCCGACAGAGCAGCTCCTACGGCAGGAGGCTCACCCAGGCCCTGGCCTCTGCCCGCTCCAGTGCTTCCCCACACCCTGATGGGTGGGTCTCTGTGTCCCTCAGTCCCATCCCTGACAGCTCAGATGCTCTCCCCAGGAGGAGGTCACGGAGGGCGGCCACACTGGGAGGTCAGGGCTTGCCTCAGAAGCCACAGAGCCCCAGGATTCTGCATCCGGGTGCCCGGCTGCTTCCCCAGGCCCAGGATTCTGAGCACCAGGAAGACCCAGTGCCAGAGGGCAGCACCGGGTATGAGTCGGGCAGGCCTGCCCAGTCCTCAGTGCTGCTTTTGCTCACCACCCTCCCCGGTCTCAGCCCAGCTCCTCCTGGGCCTTGTGCCTCCCCCGTGCCTCAAGGAGGCCAGAAGTAGGTCAGGTCTTGCTGATCATGCTGCCTTGCTTGCTGTGGCAGACGTCACCAGTGCTGTGCCTCCTCCTCCCCAAGCACTGCCTGGCCAGGTCAGCCCCTCATTCAGGAAAGTGAATGGGCCCATCCTGTGGTTCTATGACGACAGGGGTGGCAGGGACCAGCTGGGGGCCAGGACATCACTGTGTGGCCTTGGTGGCTGTGAAGCTCTTAGGAAACAACCTTGGGTCCTCTGTGCTGGAATGAGGTTGACGTCCATGAGGCATGGAGGTCCTGGGGGGCTCAGGCCCAGGAGGAGGAGTGGGGCAGGCCACTGAGGCCATCCATTGCCCACCCACTCCCCGGTGAAGGCCAGTCTACAGGGTCCACCAGGGCCCTGTCTTCTCTGCCAGGACAAGTTTGGCCTTGGGTCCCAGGCAGGACTCTGCCACCTCAGACACGGGGCTCCTGGAGACTTCAGCTGGGCACGTGGGCAGCACGAGACCCTGGGTTAAAAGAAGCCGATGACGGCTATTTTGGTAGAAATGTTCCTGCTGCTCTGAGTTCCCATCGAGTGGTGCTGGCAAGTGTGGAGAAGAGGGGCCTCAGCAGCCCCCCGACCTTCCCCTGGCGTGCACCTGGGAGGCGGTGTCCTGAACTCGCCTTACCCCTCGCGAGAAAAGCAGAGATTGAAGCTCTTTCTGGCACTGAGATGAGGTGCCCCGGGGAGGTGCGGTGGTTGCAGGTGAACTCCCTGGTGTGTTGAGATGGGAAGGCACCCGTGCAGGTGGATGGCCTTGGGGTCTGGCTGAGGAGCAGAGGCTGGCGCCTGCACCCACAGCCCCACACAGCTCTCGGGTCCCCCCAGCCTTAGCCTGTGCAGCTGCCCTTCTGCAGCCCTTGCTGGGCTGGCTCAGCTGACCTAGGGACACCCGACCCCACACTGCTGGCCTGGGCTGGCCACTTCCCGGCTGGCTGTTCTCATGGCTCACGGGGTGTCCCTCTAGGGCGAAGTGTGGCAGGGCTCAATGGAGAAGGCTCTGGAAGGGAACCAACACATCAGAGCTGCCTTCCTCTCTCTGTCTCTCTGGACCTGCCAGGGTTCTTCTTAACTTCCGTTTTGTTCTGTTCTGATTTAAGCAAAACGATCATTTTAGTCATGGGGATCCTGCCGTCCACCTTCGTCATGTGCGGTCTGCTCCTAGACGTAAGGGCACACACAGATCATGAATCACTGGGGTCGCCCGCCTGTGTTTCACGGCTCACATGCCCTCCTGTCGACAGTCCCCTCTTCTGGGTCGCAGGAGTGAGAAGGGAAAGTAGCCACTGCTTTCTGCTCCCTTCTGTGGTTCCCTGGAGGGAAGGAGGCTGGCACCAGTGGCTGCAATGGCTGCCAGGGTATCTGCACCTCTGGAAGCTTCCCACTGTCTTGCATTTGAAGCTTTTCTGGCTGCAGTGGGCAGTGCATCCTCAGCTGCTGATGTCCTGCCACCTAAGCCCCCACTGGGGTGCAGCCAGCTGAAGAACAGCTCTGAAGATGTCCACGCCCTTGTCCCCAGAGCCTGAAAGTGTCCACCTCTGGGGCAGAAGGAGCTCTGCTGATGGGATTAACTGAGGGCCTTGAGATGTGCGAGGGTCCTGGATGGTCCATGTTGGCCCACGTCACCATAGGATCCTTGCAGGAGGGAGGAGGTCAGAGAGGTGGAGGAGGTTGCACTGCAGATTTGGAGATGGACAGAGTGTCCACGAGCCAATGAAGGTGGTGCCCCAGGACACAGTAAAGGTGGGGAAGCACCTCTGGAGCCTCCAGAGGGAGCAAGGCCTTGCTGACGCTGGGTTCAGTCTGATCTGTAGCACCTGGAGAGGTGACGTGTGCTGTTTTAAGCCACTAAGCTCATGGTGGCTTGTCTTGGCAGCCCTGGGACACCCACAGTGGCTGCATCAAACTCCCCATGCTCCACGAGTGTCGTCTACACTGTGTGCCAGGGGACAAGCAGGTGTACACGCTGCACCCTTGCTTCTGTGCCCCAGTGTCCCGTCATTCACAAAATACGGTCTACAATTGAAAATTACTGAGAAGCTCGGCTGAGGCCGCAGCTCAGAGGTAGAGCTGGCCTGGTACAAAGAAAGCCGAGGATCCATCCCCAGACAAAAAGAGTCCCGGGTGGCTGGTACAGGAAGTCCACCTACCCTGGGCCTCTCTCCTTAGGACTCCAGTGGTCACTCCCAGGCCCTGGCTCTGAGTGTGAACTGGGGCCCAGGCCCACTGGCCAGTGATTACTGGCGCCTGTACACATACGCAGATGCACCATCTTGACCCCTGGCTGCCCCTGCGCATGGGGCGTGGGCGTGGCCAGTCTGAGGACACTTCTCTCCTGCAGCGGGAGCGGGAGAATGGCTCCAACCTGGCCTTCATGTTCCGCCTGCCCTTCGCTGCGGGACGGGTCTTCAGCATTAGCATGTTGGACACGCTTCTGTATCAGGTCAGCCAGTGTGGAGGGAGGGGGGCTGGGTCGCCGCAGAGGCCCCGTCTCCCTGCCAGAACTCAGTGCCTTCCCAGGTCACCCCCCGCAGTCCCCCAGGGCAGTGGGCCTCACCTCAGCATCCTCGAGGCCCCTTCCTCTGGGGGCTGCCCTGGGCTCCACTTTGGGTTCTGATCCTGTTCCAACTTAGCGTGTTTGACCACGTGGGTTACCAAACCTGGGGGCGGCCTTCTCTGCCGGCCCCAGGAGGTGGCCCCTGTAGGTACACGGAGGACGGGCACCACAGGCCTGTGCCGGGCGCCTGCCTCACCACAGCTCGGTTCACAGTCCTTCGTGAAAGACTACATGATCAGCATCACCAGGCTGCTGCTGGGCCTCGACACCACCCCGGGCTCCGGCTACCTCTGCGCTGTAAGTCCCGGGCCAGGCCGGGCTGCCGCGCCACCTAGGAGCAAGTGGTAGGCCCTGCCCGTGGGCCCCGCAGCAAGGGGCTCTGGGCACCACCCATGTCCCGCCCCAGCGTGGGACTCCCGGCATGTTGCAGATGAAGATCACAGAGGACGACCTGTGGATCCGCACCTACGGCCGCCTCTTCCAGAAGCTCTGCTCCTCCAGCGCAGAGATCCCCATCGGCATCTACAGGACCGAGTGTCATGTCTTCACCTCCGAGGTGCACACAGCCACCCCCCTGCCCGCCTCCCCCCACCCTGAGACTCCCAGTCCCATCTCTGGTTCTGGGGGCCTGGGGTGTGGTGGCCTCTGCCTATGTAGTTGCTCTTTCGAGGCAGCATGGCTGCCGTCTGCCTGAGTGGGAGCAGGAACTCAGGGGAGTCTCCGAGAGCCGCAGGACAGGCAGGCAGCCCTGTGGGCCACCCTGACTGAGCACTTTCTGTGCAGACAGGGAGGGGTTGAGTCACACTATGGGGGGGGACAGGTGCACCCGAGGCTCCAGCCGGCCCTTGGTTTCCTTTGCAGCCCCAAGACCTCAGAGCCCAGGTGAGCGCCTCTTGGTTGTGCTGCTGACCCTCAAAACCCTCTGCTTCATGGAGAGGGTCCTATTGGACCCACTGGTTTGGGGCTTTGGGAAATGCATGGTGGGGAGTGGGGCTGGAGCCTGTGTCAGCCACAGGTCAGCTCAGGGGCTCTTGGCAGTCACCGTTCCTCCTGGGGAGCAGGCTGGAGGGAGTGGCCCATGGGTTGGGACATTGGATGCACCCCTTGTTCCAGCCCAATGGTCCAGTGCCAGCTCCCAGAGCGGACCTGGGGCACCCCGCCTGGGCCCATCCTCCCTTCCCTGCGGCTCCACTCTGGCCCCTGCCCCAGCCCACACCTGCTGCCCACCCCCAGTCCCAGGTCTCAGTGAACATGGAGGACCGTGAAGACACACGGGAGGTCAAGGGGCCCTGGGGCACACGGGCCGGTCCTGGTAGTGGCCATGGCTGCCACACGAGCAGTGGCGATCCTGCCGAGCACCCGCTTCTGCGGCGCAAGAGCCTACAGTGGGCCCGGAAGCTGAGCCGCAGGGGCACCAAGCACACAGGGAAGGTACCCGCGGCCACCGAGTGGGTCAACCAGCAGCGGCTCAGCCTCTACCGGCGCTCTGAGCGCCAGGAGCTCTCCGAACTGGTCAAGAACCGCATGAAGCATCTGGGGCTGCCCACCACTGGCTATGGTAAGGGTGCCGGGCGGAGTTGGGTGGTGGCACCCTCTTGTCCATCCATCCGTCCAGCTGCCTTCCTGGCCATTCTGCGTGTCCCTCACTGCAGGGCCAGCTCCAGCTCCATTGTGGCCATGAGAGCCCTGCTCAGTAGAGAGCAGGGAATGCAGTGGCCAGGGCTCTCCTGGTGTGGGGAGGGTATAGGATCCCCAAGAACTGAGTGGCTGGGGGCCTCTGTTTGTCCATTAATAGGAGACCGGACTCGGCTGCCTGTAGCCTGGAGGAGGAGGCTGTGAGGTGGAGAGGGTGGGGCAGGTGATCTCCCCAGAGTCTCCTTTAGGGACAGACAGGACACTAAGTCCAGTCTTACTGGGCAGCAGGAACACAGGGACCATTCTCATGGGGAAAAGAAACAAGGCAGAGAGACCACAGGGCACCTCGCACTGCCCAGCCCCAAGCCCGTCTCCGTGCAGGAGGCGTGGGCACGTGGTCTTCAGGGAGACACTGAACAGCCCATCCAGGGCACCTTCCACCTGCCCCACTGTCCTTCCCAGGGTGTGGCCAGCCATTTCTGCTGCTTCAGGTCACCCCTAGGCATCCATCTCTGAGCAGGTTCCCACAGCTAACCCCCCTTACTCTATGCTATGTTTGGGGGTGACACTGGTGACTTTGACCATGAGCACCCTCTCTTCCTGGGATACTGAGACCCAGCTCCAGCTGTACTGCTGCCCCCGCTCCTGCTGCTGCAGCCTCCCTCAGGCTCCGTCGGGGACCCATCTGTTGCCCAGGCCCATCTACTTCCTCTGCCCCACTGCCCCCCCCCAGTGGAGGGGCTGCCCAGGGCCACTGGGGCTGGGTCAGGTGCTGGCTGTGCACCCCTGGGCACACTGAGCTGCCTCAACTGCCAGCTACTCCATGGGGGGTGAGTCCGAGGAGACGGAGGCCAGCCTTTGGACACTAGAGGGCGTCCCTGGATGCACTGTCCCTGCTGTGACTGCCTCTGGGGGTCTGACCACCAGGGTCATGGAGGGGTCAATGCTCATGGCCCATCCAAGCACTGGCAGGTGGAGAGTCCAGGCTGCCCTGGCCTGGCCAACCCCAGAGCTGGTGCCTGCCCTGTGTCCCCCTTGGTCTCTACATACTCCTGGCCACCCACCAGAGCTTGGCACAGAAGGGCTGGCTTCCTTTTGGCAATCAACTCGCTTTCAAGGTGGCCAGTGCTGACCACCACATCCCCCTGTGGATGGCCCCTGTGTGCAGCTGCCTGCAGTGCTGCCCGCCACGCCACTGCTTGCTGACCTCTCTCTCTCTCTCTCTCTCTCTCCCCCTCCCCTCCGTTTCTGTCTGTGCCTTTCCCCTGTGTTCTGTAGAGGACGTAGCAAATCTAACAGCCAGTGATGTCATGAATCGGGTAAACCTGGGATATTTGCAAGGTAATTCTGCTCTAGTGAACACTGACCACCACACAGGGGACATGCCAACCCTTTGTTGCCCTGGCCAGGCTAGGCAGAGGTCAGGAAAGATGAGAGAGGGCCCCAGGCTCCTCCATATCGGGCAGGGCCTCACAAGCTTGCAGTTGGACCTTTCATCCTCGTGGGTCGGGTGAAGCTGTGGGTCTGTGCCACTCAAGGCCAGGAGGACTGGGCCTGCCTGGCTCTCAGGGACCACCCCAGGACTTCCACCCTGGCCTGCCCTGTAGGATGAGCTCTGCCAATTGCCTTTGCCCTGACTGGGCAGGAAGGTCATCCCAGCCATGGTGGCTTCTTTGGCTGGTTCCATGAGATGTCAGAGGCCCCTGAGCCAAGGTCCTGAGCCCCCTGGACAGAGGCTGGGTGAAGCCTGGGCTGAAAAATGCCCCGGTACACAGGGGGCTTTGGAGCTGCTCTGCTCTGAGCTACAGGAGAGTGAGAGTGTGTACCGCCCGAGCCAGGGGGACAGCTGGCTTCCATCCCCTACTGGGACCCCAGGAGAGAAATTCCCCCCGCCTAGTTGGGACAAAGTTGATCACCTCAGTTCTTGTCTGGGTCCTCCAGTGCGGAGGGCCACCCCACTCCCCACAGCCCTGCACCGGCCCCGAGGGCTCAGTGCTCAGGGCAGAGTCCCGGCCGTGACCTTGCTGGACCCCTCCATCTGGCAGCCTCTGGGCCTGCCCTGGTGCCCCCTCCACACAGGGCCTGTCTGCAAGGCTGCCGGCAGTGCTTTCTCTTACCCACAGCCTCGCACCAGCATCCACACAAGAGTGGCCTCTGCCAGGCCCCGTGAGCCCAGACCCAGGCCACACCACTAACTGCCTGTGGCCGTGGCTCCTGGGCCAGGTGGCGGGCATGGGCTCAGGCAGCCCCAGACTTGCCCACGGTCAGAGGCCCACTGTGGTGTTCGTGTGTCACCACCTGCGTGCTGGTCAGGGCGATGATGCTGGGGCGCTGCAGGGAAAAACCAGGGGAATCTCCTGTTGAAGGCAAGGTGGCCCTGTTAGCCTGGCCAGCAGGGTGGGCATCCACCCCAGGCCACTCAGCGAACAGATGAGGGAGCAAGCCTCACCTTACCCGCTCTCCACAGCCTCCCTTGGAAGGAGGCAGAAAAGCAACCCCCAATTCAGAGGCTAGGGTGGGGATAAGCTCAGGCTGGCATGGGGAGTGAGGGCAGGAGTGTGTGGACGCCCATGCTGGGGGAGACAGGAGGAAGGAGGTAGAGCCACCTTGGTGACCTGACATGGAAGGCGGCCCAGGGTGCCTGGCTGTTCCTGAGGAAGCTGGAAGCAAAGGCCCTTACCTCGCCCAGCCACACCTGTGCCAGTTCCCTGCCTCCCACAAAACTAATAAGAACTCAGGCCAGTCGGGCCCCTCTGTCCAGCCAGACCCCTCTGTCCAGCTGGGCCCCTCTGTCCAGCCTGGAGCCTGGCATAACCCACCTCCGCCAAGAAGTACTGAGCCAGGCCCCAAGAAGTACTGAGCCAGGCCTGACTTGGCCTTCCGTGAGCTTTGCTAGTTTCAGAAACACCCTCTAAAGTGGGCCCAGGAGCCCAAGCTCACAGAGGAAGGGCCCAGGGGTTCACCGTTGAAGGTGCAGCTGCTGGGCACAGAGGCCTACAGGGTGAATGCACTGGTGGCCCCTTGATTCCAGTGTCACAATTGGGCATACATCACAACATGGTGCCCTGCCAGTGACTGTGGTCTGAGTACAGGGTCCGTAAGAGCCACCTCTTCCACCCATTGTCCACACAGCTTGTCCCTGTGCTTGTCTTACCTCAGAGCTATGGCTGTGCATATGGTCACAGGAGACCACACCTCCCCTCAGCCTTGAGCACAAGCCACAGCAGTCAGGGCAGCACCTCCAACCAGGGCCAAGGGGACCCAACCATGGGTTTTGGGAAAAGGGCAGAAATAGCTGTGCTCCTGGGACAGATGGCCCCATGTTGTGCTAGTGCAGGGTGACCAGGCCATCCTTCCTGCTGACACGGCTCTGGGTGTGGCTTATATGGCTGGCCTCCTGGCTGAGGCTGCCCACCAGCTGATTCCAGCCTGCACCCTCCTGCTCACCCGCTCGTGCCCCGCTGGGGAGGCTCTGACCCCAGTGCCTGCTGTGGCTCTGAGGCCGCAGGCTCCAAGCAGACATGCCCCCCCCCCCCCGCCTGCTGCTCACAGCAGCTCCCCCAGCTTTTTTTAGGGGAGGGGATGGTGCAGAGGAAGGAAATGAAAGCGCCCTGGATAGAGGTGCCCTGTCCCAGGTCACTGTCCTCTGTCCTTGGAGGCCACAGGGTGCCTTCCAACATCATCAGATGGGTAAACTGAAGCCAGTGAATTCAGGGCCACTGCCTTTAATGTCGCTGTATTTGGTGAGGGCACCTGCTGACCTGGTGCAAGACACCTGTGAGATGACCGGGTGCTCCTGGAATCACAGCTTCCCTGTGAGCTGCACATCATGCTGGTTTTGGTGTGGGCATGGCACAGCCCCAGTGGGAGAGGTCCTGCCGGGTCCCCAGGGACAGTGGCATCTGTAGGGCACTTCAAGGAGGGTGGGAGAGTTGGGTGAAGTGTGTACAGGTGTGGGTGGGTATGAAGGTGTGTCAGGCACGTGCTGTATACATCTGTGTGCAGGAGTGGGCGTGGTCCCACGAGGTACACCAAGGGGTGTGCAGGTGTGTATGTGCAGGCGTGTCCAGGCACGTGCAGCTACAGTAGGTGTGTACAGGTGCACACGGGGGAATGATCAGGCACAGATGCCAGGTGTGTGGTCTGTGCAGGTGGCAGATGCGCTTGGAGCCTCTGCTCAGGGCCCTGCATTGCTGAGATGCCACCCGATGCTGGCTGCTCGGCTAGCTGACCCCTGCTCAGTGCAGGGAGGGGCTGGAGACCAGTGCCCAGCAGTGCCAGGGGGACTGGGCCCGGCTGAGAAGATGCTCAGCTCCCTGGCTCCTTCAAGCCCTGCAGAGCCAGGGTGGGGAGAGGGCAGTGACGCCACCTGGCTGTCCTTTGCAGACGAGATGAATGATCAGCAGAACACCCTCTCCTACGTCCTCATCAACCCCCCGCCTGACACGAGGCTGGAGCCCAATGACATTGTGTGAGTGCGACCTGCCCCTCCCCAGGCAGACAGGGACCTCTTGGGTATGTGGGGTGGGTGGGACCTGAGCACTCCAACGGGCTGTCCTGTACCTCAGGGCCCTCTCTCTATGCTTCACAGGTATCTCATTCGCTCCGACCCTCTGGCCCACGTGGCCAGCAGCTCCCAGAGCCGGAAGAGCAGCTGTAGCAACAAGCTGTCCTCCTGCAACCCAGAGACTCGAGACGAGACCCAGCTCTGAGCCACCTTGAGGAACCCACACCAGGGCATCCTTTGGACCTTGTGCCCTGCCTGGGATCCAAAGGAAGGACTCAGGAGGGAGCAGCACAGATACCATTACTGGCCTGGCCCAGGGAGGCTATACTTCATTCAGGGTGGCTTCCAGGACTTGACCCCAGAAAGAACTCCTCACCCAGGGCCAGGCGCAGAACCATATCAGGCACCCTAGAGGCTAGCGGGAAACGTTTTTAATCTATTTTTACAAACCTGTACTGTCCATGTCTTATACAGATGTACCGCAACTCGTGACGGGGCCTGGTCAAGGTGAAGGGCAGGTGGCCAGTAGGGGACAGAGGGACTGGACACCACCTGGGTCCCACTGCTCTACATGGCCATGTTCAGGCATTGCTGGAGGGACTGGGGTGCATTGGGTGGGGAGGAGTTCGTGTCTGGACCCTGGAGCGGGGGAGTCCCACACAGCCCTCCCGGTGCTGAACAGTCGGCGTGATCTCGTGGCCTCCACCCCGTTCAGGGCCCTCCTGACTTCGGCACGGCTCTGAGGCACAGCCCTCATAAAGGGCAACCCGGGGGTGCTCTCTGCCATTTGCTATTCCGAGCTATCCCCAGGAGGGCAAAGAAAGAGGAGGGTCTTGGCTGAGCCAGGGGTGTGCAGCCCCCAGGCTGTGGGGGCCCTTGCTGGCAGATCTGGCAAGTGGGGGTACCTACTGCCAGTAACTGAAAGTCAGAAGACACCAGTTCCTATTTTTACACTGAGTTTTTCCAGCCATGGCATTTGGGGACACTGTGACAAGTGTGTCTCTATGGACCATTTTACATTTCAAAGCAAAGTCTTGTTTCTAAACACCCAACCTGAGAAGCACAATTAGCCCTGGGCTGCTGGCTGCTGTCCCCAGGGTCTCCAGGGAATCCTCGGGCAGAGATCTGGGCAGCCCCCGTCCCTGCTGCTAGACCTCACTGCTCACAAGGATGCACTCTGTAGGCAGCATGTCACCAGGTAGCCTGCCCTAGGCTCCAGGCTCTGAGTCTGGGTCTGGAGGACACCTGGGGCTAGTTACAAGGGTCAGAAATGTCTGCTGTGGTCCCCACCCCCGACTTCACAGGCAAGCCTGTCCCCCAGCCTGGCCAGCATGCCCTTACATAATGCTGGGTTGGGACAGATGGGAAGTTTGGCTGGTAGAAGCCCCAGTGTCCTGGAGGCTTCCTGGTGAGCTGTCCATCAGCCTCACCCCTATATCCCAGAATGCCTCTGGAGTGACCCTGAGCACCCCAGGCTTGTGGGGTGGACACAGTTCATTTGAGACCAATAGCTGCTGGGGACCCCGTCCACTGGGGGCCAGAGCTGAGCCCATGTACTGCAGAGGTTGAGATAAAGGGGAAGGGCCTAGGCACAGCTCCCCCCCCAGCATCAGGACAGATGGCTCCCCAGAGGTGGGCAGGCAGCTCAGGGACTACAGAAAACTGCGTGGGAGGCCTGGCTGGCAGAGTGCCACACACCTGGGGCTCAGCCTCCCCACCCTGCGCACTGGACCACCAGGGGCCTGCCTGCTCAGAAAGTGCCTGGGTGAGGCGCTGACAAGGACAGAGGATGCAGGTGGGCAGGGAGGGACTGTGCAGACTCAGGAGCAGGGAAGTCTTGGGGCTTGATGGAGGGCAGGTGGTTGACGTTGGCTAGGTGGCCAGAGCTCAGCCCTGCTGTACTAGATCTGTCAGCAGCTCCTGGGGTGCCGCAGTGGACAGCAAGGGGTCTGAGCCCACCTCCATGTATACTCAGTGTCCCCAGCCCCTATCCTGCTGCCATGGCACAGCTTCCTGCTGTCACCTATTCGGCTGCTGGGCCAAGGGGTGGGAGAGCCACCTTGGCTTCCACTAGGTAGGGCTGCAGCTCCTTGTGCTGCAAAGAGTGGGTACCTGGGACTTATCCTGTGACAAGCATCTCACAGCAGGAGGGAGGGCTGTCACTCTGGGTCTAGCCCCAGACATTCAAGGAGAAGGGCAATCCATGAACTCTACTAGCCACTGAGGACACTGGGCCCTTGACCAGGGCTGCTCCACCCTGCCCAGGTTCAGAGGCTGCTGTGGACCAGGCCAGCAGTGGGGTCAAGAGGGTCTGTGTACTGAGATGCTCCTAGACCAATAAAAGCTGCCTGCACACCCAGAACTTCCTGCACTCTGTCTCGACCTCCATCTGTCTCCAGGCCTGGGGACACGTGGGTACGTCTCTGATTGTCCTGGGTCCATTTGCCAACACTCCTGGCTTGTGTAGTCCTGGCACCAAGGAGGTCAGTCCTACTCCTCCGTCCTCACTGACCACTGGTACTCCAGGGTCCTAACCCTGATGAACCCCTCCGAAGACACCCATTCTGCTAAGTGGGGGATCCAGACTGACATCAGCAGCTGCCGCTGCCCAAAATGAGCTAGAATTTAAAGGCTTTGCAGCATAAAATTTGAAACAAAATTATGGAGAGGACCTTTATTTTCCTTATTTCTGGTTGACCTCGCAGGAAACTTGGCTCATAGCTGAGTGCTGCCACCTGGGGGTGGATGATGGGAACGGCAAGGCCGAGGGGAGCAGGAGCGCTGCAGACCCAGGTGGGCCTGTGAGGAAAGGATGCGCACGGTGGGAGGCTCGGCTGAGCCGGAGAGCAAAGGAGGGCAAGGCAGGGACCACAAACAAGGACAAGCAACAGAAAATGGGTGGATGGCCACTGGTCCGGTGACACCAATCAGCCAGTGAACGTGCAGAGTGTCCCAGTGATAGACCACAGTGGACAGAAAGCAAACCCCAAAGCTAACGGGCTGGGGTACCCTTGCCCAGCCCCACTCAGTTTGTCCCAGCCTCTCACGCCAGGCAGGCACAACAAATAGCAGCGGGCACAGGCCTCAGGAGCCTCCAGGCCCCCTCTGCCTGACTCTGTGCCCTCATCTTAGCCCTGCCCTGGCCCTTCCCATGACCTCAGGGGCTTTTCTCCTGTCTAAAAGCACCAAGTTCGGTCAGGGTTTTTAGATGTGCCCTCGGAGCAGCGGATGGTCATGTCTTCCAGGAAGAGTTTTAGCATCTTCTGAAAAACCTGACCAACTGGTGCCTCCTGATGAACTGGCCAGGCCACTGAGGAGGGGCTGGCCCGGGGCAACAGCTGGACGGAGGCTGCAGCCTGAGGCCCGGGGGAGCCACTCACCTTGCTCTAGGGGGTCTGGAGCCCTGAGGGAAGGGACTGGGGCACCGACCAGCTCCTATGCGTCCCAGGCCTCAGAGGCAGCCTGAACTTGAAACCTCAGATGGGTCGGTGCTGGGCACACCCACCCTCATGTCCTGCAACATCTATAGGAACCTTGGAGCTCTCGGGTCTTGGGGGCCCTGGCACACCCCCGGGGCAGGGACTTCAACCTTCAGTCACCAGCTCTGCCTGCAGCAAAACTCCCCAACAGGCTGCCACTGCTCAGGAGCTGGGGCTTCCACGGCTGTCTGGAGCCACCCTGCCCAGCCCAGGCAGGCAACCACCCTCCTGCTGCCTCTTGGGTGGCAAGGTGCTTCCCGGGGTTTGAGCTGCACCCCCACCCTCCACACTTCAACATCTCCGACAGCAGAACTCCAGAACCCACAGGGTGGCAGTGTGACTGGCAGCAGTTTCTCGGACTCAAGGCTGGGAGACGTGGGCTGGGGGCTGTGACACCCCAGGCAAGCTTTGTGCTGTGAAGTGCCAGCCGAATACTTGGCACAGGGACAGGCCAGGTGCAGCCTGAGGGAGGGAAGGGCGCAGGCTTTGGCTTCCAGATTCATCTTCCTAAGTGAACACACAGATTCACCCTGAGCCCTCGCTCGTGTTTCCCAGGTGCTCGCATCAGATAGGCCCCTGGAGGTGCGCCTCATCCTGGTGTGCCTCTCTCTAGGGCAGGACAGCAGATTACCAGTGTGTATTGCCTGGTCAGCTGGCAAGGCCAGCGTGGAGTCACCCTGTGCTTCCCGGCCAGCGGCAAGACCACATTATCTATCTTCACAGGGTAGATAAAAGCCAGCCTGTGAAGGGCACCCAGCAGAATTGAACAGAAAGCTGTGTTTCAGTGTTACTGAATTCTTTCCCTTAATTCCCTCAAGCTAGCACTTCAGGGAATGAAAGTCGGATCTTGAAGGACTTTTTGTACTCTTCCCCTTCTCAAAGCCACCTGAGTGCAGAACTCAGGTTGGGCCTGAAACTTGTTGAGGCTGCATGGCAGCAACACGCTCAGAAATGGCTCAGAGGACACAAGGGAGATGGTCTGTCTGCGGCACACATACATGCACACACACGTGCACATGTCCTCACACACACACCCTCACATGTACATACACCTCTGTATATACACCCTTGCACACACCCCATGCCCACAGACATACACACATGCCCTCACACATGCGCACACACCCCATGCCCACACACACAACCCATGCCCGCGCACACACCCCATGCCCACACACACACCCCTACGTGTGCCTGCACACCCTCGCACCCTCGCCCAGGCGTTTCCATGTGGTCTGTGGACAATGGGCCTTGTCAAGCTCCTTCTGTCTACTCTACAGCCTCTCTGTCCCCAGGCTTCTGTCACCACCAGTGCCAGCACGCCACTAGGCTGCAGGCTGAAACACGGACACACTCTTGGTGACCTGCACGTGGCACTGAAGCATCGCAGGCACTCAGGAAGCACAGGCTTGACAGGAGCCCCGCTGGGGCTAATTCAAGGGGCGCATCACCACCCTGCCAGAAAGGCCTGGCATCACCCACTGGGCACGCCTTGGGCCTGAAGCTCCCCCAACAACGCAGAGGCTGCGTACCAAGGACTCGTCCGTCCCCCCCCC